GGTTTTAAAACTCTGAAAATTTCTGTGTTTATTACCGCACTTAATTTGGTAAATGACAGTTCAATGTGTAAAAATCAAAATACCATGCCTATCTACGATCCGTAAATGTCAGTTTTACAGTTGTCGAGGCCAAAAAAAAATTGTCATTGCATTTGACAGACTTACAAATTTAAACTAGGACCTTCAAAAAACTTGATTCGTTTACGATTTTTATAAGTATTCATATTTTACGGTAATACATTTTAACACAACGAACACTGGCAAAGATATCGAAATTACATATAACAAGAACAAAATTTTCGCTTAATCTTCTCTTGAGTTGAGGTAATGAGTTCCGTTACCCTATGTGGTTTTTCAAAACAAAAACTCATATTCATGTATCGTAATACGCTTTTTAATCCACTCGTAACGTCAGCAATGGCTTATTTTATCCTAAGCTTCGATGGCGAGTAAAGTTTGTTGTTAGGACATTTTTAAAAGATCAATAATGGCCATAGGATTTTTCGATGCAATAGGTGGATAAAGTAGATCGAAGATATTTGTATGTTTATCCAATTCCTCTATAAAGTTAATAACACTCCCTTAGTCCCTGTGCCGCGGGAGCGCAAATTTTAGGGGGACGCGAACATTGAAAAATTGACAATCTGAGCAATCGAAACATCAAAAAATCGAAAAATCTAAAAACTGAAAAATCAAAAAAAAACGAAAAACCGATACATCTAAAAGTTCTTCTGATTCTTTCTCGCGTGCCAAAGCTTTCAAATATTCTTGGTTAAATTGTAAATTTTTCTTCCTTGATAACAGCGACTTTTAGAAGCAGATTTCGAAAGCCACTCTTGTACGGTATACATCCTTCTTAGCAACTTTCGTCAACAACCGATAAACAAATTAATAATCCAGACAAACTCGGCGCCTCATTCCGATCTTCGCGTCGATAAAGCACCACGATTACTGTTATCTTCGATTGTCCTCTATCTGTTCAATCCGCGTAATTCGTGACTTCCCATGACGCACGGAACCGCCGCGACGCCCTTCGAAGCCCCGAACGGCGTCCACGTCTAATCACTGTCCACGTGTAAGAATTGGCAAGGTGCGATGATTACTACATAGTATACTGTCATGGTTTTTAATTCATGTGGCACAGTGGCAATCCTTAGTGACGGGCACCGGCGCCAGTGTTGTGACTGGCCATATCGCAATGACCTAACGGCTAAATTTAACCGCGACTAGCGCAAATTCGCAAAACGTACGTTATTTACCAAACTCAAAATACAATTTCGCGGTTGACCTTGCCGACGCTTCCTGTCCGATTCCCACAAAGTCGAAAAGGACTGGACCGCTCCAACAGCGACGATGATTGATGGTGGGTCATAATCTGGCGTTTATCTTCGTTTTGCATACGAGATAGTTGTAAACAGTGCTGTATTTATAGTGTTATCAAGAGTAGTAGCAGCACGCTGATACGTGGTATTGTTGGCGGATTTCGAGTTGGACCTTTTATGTAATCTTTTTGTTTATTTGGAGGATTTCGCCGGCGTTAAAAATAAGACGGGGACTTTGGTTGGAAGGTTTCACGGCACATCAACTATCAAAATTAAATTTTCGACACAACTGTTCCGAGAAGGATAAGGCAGCTGGACGACGCCCGAGAAAAAAAAAGATTATATAAGCGCAGAGTTTATCAAGCGGTCACAAATTATTCTATACATTATAGTTTGTGACAAAAACAATGAAAAATGTCGAGTTGAGTTAGCGTATGACGTCACCCGGCTGCCCAATCCCTGCGTGCCACACGTCGTCGAGTGACAGGTGGTGCGTCGGGCGGCTCGTTTTAGTACCGAATCAGACTGGCGCCCGCCGTCAGACACGGTGCATTTCGTCCGATAATGCTCGGCGACAAACACCATTAAGTCGCCCCCCCATCGCCCGTTATTTCCATACAAAAGGTTGTTTCTTAATGTCAAACCACGATCTACGGATAGTTCGGACGTGCTCGGATATTTCGTCGGCAATAACAATTCGGCACATGTACGAAATTAAAATTAAACAAACAACAAGAATGGCGACGTAGCGCCGGCGCCAATGACTTTTCCAAAGACAATACGTTCGGTAAATGTTTATTTTTAAACGTGGATGCCGACCGAGGACATGGCTTTTGACGTATCTCTTGCGGCGCCTTTGTGTTTATCGAAAGCGTGTGAGATTGATACGGGAAGAAAAATTTCGGCGGAGTGGGACGGCGCCGGATTTGACGCCGCTAAATTGGTCAATAAGCACAGACGAGGAAAAAACGAGATCGGTTATGGGGATTATTGAATGTCTAATGCTGACATTAATGTTTTGTAAATTATGCACTTTCCAATAGACAGCGTCTGTGGTAACAGGGACGACATGAATATTTATTAAATTCTCATAACAATACATCATAGATCATGCTTTGACGGTTACGGCGGTGTGATGCAGAAAAATGCTACCAACAGGATAAATTCGCATCGCACGACAGACTTTTTTGACTTGAATTTTAAAATTCTTCAATTTGTTATATTTTTGTTTTGTTTTGAGAGAAACATGAAAGGGGCTAGTAGCCCGATGGACTCGATTACTATACTTCCATAGCTTACGTTCCTTCTTATTTAAATACAATTTATTTTATCCTAGAGCACTTTATATAAAATTGTGGTGTATGGAGTAAAACCTCAAGTGAGGAGCTCCGTTTTAAAAATTTCATGAAGTCTCTAGACATCGACTCGTCTTGAAAAGTTCTTGCGGTCGATATTTAGAAACTCCCTGACCTAACACAGTTTTTGTGTTTTGCAACAAATAATAGATATGAAACGTCATAGAATCGATAGTCGCCGGCCGGCAAGCCATCAAGCTTCCAACTGAAGACAAACCTAAAATTTACATAATTCTGTAACAAATCAAAATTTATTTATTCGTTCTTCGACTTGAAAAAAAAACATTGCTCTAGATGTGCTCCGAAGTGGAGCGTCACCATACCGATAATACCCAGCTCTCGAGCAACTGTCGTGGAATTTGTGGGGTCGAGGTGCACCGGCGGCCGATTATTATTGTTACAATCGATAGTTGACGGCATGAGCGCCGCCGACCGTGACTGGTGAGCTTGTCGAGAGGCGCCAGGTGTAACAAGGATGGCTTCATTGTCAGAGCAAAGACGAAAAGAGAGACTCAAAGGCCAGATGCCGAGGACACAATACACGTACTTCCGGATGCAACAATTGCCACTAAAGACGGTTCGCGCTTGCTGTTAGCCGAAAAGGGAGGAAAGATAACGGACTTGGCGTTGGCGCACACATGCCACATGCTCACCCCGTCGGTGTGATTATTCGGTTTAAAGCTCGCCCTTGATTTACACACAATTTGCGGAACCTGTTTGACTATTATCAGTCTTAATCTCGGCGATCTGAGATCGTTTAATGCGACAAAGTCAAGGTTGGTGCCGCCTTGGAAATTCGCGAGGAAAATTTTTGTAAATACTCGAGAGAATTTAGAAAGGAAAACAATACCTGTTATAGACGGATTTGAAAACTCCCAAGTCGTGGCTTTATGTTTCGAGAGGTTTTCAACTAGAATTGATAAATCTTTAAGAAGACATCTTGCAAAAAACAACACTCTGGAAAAAAGTGTATTTCAACATTTCTCTTCCAAAAAATAACAAAAAGAAGGTTTAAAACCACACTTCACTAAAACCGTGGAATATTTTTAATATTTCCACGGTTACATAACTCACTATTACAACATGAAGACCGGAATCTCATTTTTTCAAAGTTAGATAAAATATCAATTTTAGGCACTTTTCAAACAATTAACGGTCGAAAGTGGTAAAAATGAATTAAATATGTCAGAAAAGTAGAAATGATTTTAATATTAATTAATAGTGATGGTGAGCAGATTATTACTTTTTACTTCCTGAGAGTAAACCACAGTGGAGTAAACTCGGACGTATCGTAATCGAGTCCATCGAATGACTGGCTACTTTCATGTTTTCTCGACGTTTCATGACCTCTAGAAAATGAAAAAATAGTCCTTGTTTACGTCTGTCCGGATTTTTATTAAACAAATAATCTTCGAAACTACCGGACCCATTGTTGTAAAATTATATGTTGTATTATAATGTAACCAAAATTTGTCTGCTCATCCCCACCTACAACGGAATCATCTCCAAATTTTACGATAGTAAATCTTATTTAAATTTTATAAAAATATTATCGAAAATCGAATGCTTTGAAATATTGCAAACGTTCTAAGGTTATGGGAAGAATGGTAAATCGAACGCTAACGTACGAGTTACAATTCGCAACCGTCACTAAACCTACGATTGTGCCGTCCAACCCCTCATGTCACTGGATTAGACGTTTCTGTTTTGTAAGTACAATTCGATGCCTGAAGGTATCTCGGTAATTTATATTCTAAAGTGATATTTGGCTTGATGTTGCTGAATTAAGTGAAGACATGATTCAATGTCCCAGATTAATCTGTCAATTCGAATGCTGCTCTAGGCCCGAATCACCATTTGTGTGCAAACACAACGTCACCGGATTTCCACTTTCACGTTTCTTGTCGATGGCAAAATTTTAAAATCCACCTCTCTTCAAACCGACATTTACGAAATTCAAGTATAGCTATGTCAGTTTCATTCATCAATCAGGAAGATGTAAGGAATCGTCGAACAATTTGTTTCGCTGTGGTAATATTTGGGTTTTAGAACCCTGCGAGGGAAACGTTTCCTCGTGTGATTTTCCCGTCTCGCGTCCGAAAAGTTGCATCGACACGTTCACGAATATTTTTGAGCGCTGAAGACTCCACGCCCTAAGACGGACGCCCTGAGGGCAGCAAGTGTATGGGGGAGCCACGGTTGTTGGTCACCTTGAATGGGGCCCGCCGGAGAGAGGTATTATGATGTCATATGCAATCACCTACCGCAGCTCGCATACGAATGGTATTCCTTCGAGTATGGTAAAAATTAAGAATCGACTCACCATCTCCGTTGGTCGTCAAAGACCCAGGAAACTGGTGGCGGAGCGGAGCCTCCTCGCTTGGCGCTCGATCTAAAAATAAACGAAAAAAAAATCGATTCAATCAATTATCATCATCATTACAATTACTGTCGAATGTTTGGGCGAATCATACTCCCAAGGTACGCGGATGAGAATAATAAAAAATAGAATAAAAACACAATCCTTTGCCAAATTTATCAAGTGGGCTTAGGATTTTGAGCGGTTTTAAATCAAGTTGACCTTGTCGGGCGCCGGCTTAGCTCAACACGTGTACGCAAACCTCGAAAAGACGTAACCTCTTCGTCGTCTTTCCATTGTTTTCGCGAAAACTTGGACGATTTTCTCGGTTACCGAGCGAACGAAAATGTTTACATTAGAAAAAAGCACGAACGCGTCCAAGGCTACCGGTACCCGAACGCTCGCTCGAAGATTAACTAACGTAAAACGCCGAGAAATGAAACAAAAACACCATTTTTCATGAATCAAAATGTAAAAGTTAATGGGTTTTTCGGTGCCACGCCCACGCGGGTTAGATATAGTCAAAAGTAATTACGAGTTTCACGTCTGGTACTTTTTAAACCACTAATTACGTACGAAAAAGGCATTATCGACACCTACGTCTGGCGTTATTTACATTTTGTGTTCGGCTATTTATTCGGAATTTGGTTAGCGCCAGCGTGCAGGACGTCTGACCTTTCTAAAGTGGAAAGTTAAATAAACCGGCGCCTTGCTATTCTTGGAGAGCAAACTACCGCTGCTGGTATTTTGTCGGTGTCTGGTTTTTTAACACGTTTTTGTTGTTTTGCCCATTCGCAAGACCGAATTGAGATTTGACGTTTCTCGGACCGTTTTACAACGTTTTCAGGCTTATTTCCGCCGGTAGAGCTATTTTGAGCGGCCAGGGGCGGCGCTACGGTGAGGATGAAAGGGCCACAAAAACACTTCACGGATCGAAGTCGACAGTCAAAGCTGCTCTAATTTCATTAGTCACTGAAAAGTGGGCGCTTTTTCAGTAGGATGACCTTACAGACGACTCGCTACTGAACATCACCTGTTACACTCGAAAGTACACACAGATAAAGCGGTTTTAAAGATTTATATTTTTATTATTTTCTCTCAATTAAATTGTTCTATTTTACAACACGGTAATTTGTAACAGTAACACTAATAACAGTATAAGGTTGTTGGAAGATGGTTTTAATGTTCATTCAAGTCTACGATGAAACTACAAGAAGTAAAACCACATAGAATAGTACACTAGGAAAAATTGGTCGAATGTCCCGCTTCTTTGAAAAATTATAAACCTCTACAAAGTAAAAATCAGTGGCCTAAATAACACTCCCGCAGCTTTTTTGACTTGAATTTGTCATACTTCAATTTTTCAATTTTTTGTCTCTTCAGTTTTGCGATTTACAATTTTTAGTTCCGATTTTTTATTTTTTTTTTATTTTTTCGATGATGTATTCGATTTTTCAATATTCAGATTTTACAATTTTTTGTTTTTCAACACTAATTTAGTTTTTCGTTTCTTCAATTTTCGACTTGCAACCTTTCGTTCCGGTTTTTTATTTTCTTAATTTTTTCAATTAATCTTCTGATTTTATAATTTCTCTTTTTCTCAATGTAAAAATTTTTCAATTTTACTTTCTCGTTTTTTCAAGGTCGAAAAAACACAAGAGTAGGGACTCAGCCGATTGACTCGATTACAAGACGAGTAGCTTACGCTCAGGAAGCAAAAATGATACAAAATGCCGATTATTATTTAATTCTCTTATTAGTCATGTTTCTATCATCTTCGAAGAACATAGCCAAAACGGAAAACCATCTTTGATAAACGAGTTAAATTCTTAACTTACTTCACATGACCCCAGATATCATCACTCATTATTTTGGCGTTTTATATACGACAAAATTAAGTTTTAAGCTTCTACGAAAATCGGTGTTCGTGATTTATTTCTTGACACAATTATCCTGTAAGAAGAAATATGGGAAAATATAATCTGGACTGCCCACATGTTTATTACAGCCAATAGTAAAATTCTGACTTGACTTTTCAATGCCTCTTTATCGGCTAACTTAATCGAGTCGAACTTAACACAAGTGCTTTTTATTTTAATTTGTGGAAGCGGAGTGTTGCCAACCCTCGTTCGTTTTTCCTCTTCCCGAACTAATTGACGGGTATCGGCAGGCGCGAGAGGTACCAACCCGGCTCCTCGACATTCCCTGTCCCGTCGCATCCGTCGCGACGTCGGGCGGGGAGCTCGCAGCCCCCTTCTGCGTGAGGCGCCACACTCTGCCGCCGCTCTCCCTCAACGTGCTCGAAAAGAAGGGGCTAAACCCATTACTCACCAGAATACACAGCATTATACAACACCTCTTTCATCGCGCGGGCTGCTGTCATCTTTTGACAGTCGATCACGTGACCGTTAATTTAGAGCGTCGCCTACTAGGAATTCAGTTGGCAATCAAGAGTGACAAGTGTGAAACAATGGCTCGTAAAGCGGCACAAAAGAATTCCGAGAAGTGCCGAAAAATGTTGGAGCGCAAATGGGACGCGGTGGTGATTTATAACGTCGTTTTTTCGTCGGGACGACGACGTTATTTGTACGCGATTAATCCGATGGGTTAAACAAACGATAAATACGTCGAGGGAAATCCGGGAATCAACAGAAACAGCTGCACACACAGACGGTCCTCGAGTACAATTAAAAAGGAAGATAAACAGACGAAGAGAAAACAATCGGAAGGAGTTTGTTGAGCGGATGGTAGTGGTTGGAAGGCGCGTTAAACGTTTCTGGGAAAAATAAAAGGACGGGGCAGCGGCGAGTCGATGGAGGGAATTTTAATACCTCCGAAACCGACAAGTGGCTTTTGGGCTGAGGTTGAACAAATTACTGCTTGATTTTGTCGAGTGCGTACAGGAAACGATGGCATTCAGGCAAGACTTCAGTTTAGACTCTCCACCAAAAACGCAAAAGGATCAGTGGACTAGAGAAGTCAGACGAAACGGTAGAACCACTTTTTCATATTCTAAGATTTACGGAACGTCGTAAAAACATGAAATTACAATACATACTCCCTCATGCTCGTGAATGCAAGAATCAATTTGGGGAAAAGTGATATTCGATAAAAAAAAATCAAACATCTTGTGCAAAGAAAAGTGACAGTAAATTTCTTATAAAAGGTACTACAATTTTTTCCACAATTTTACATCTTAGACTGTGGTTACTGGGGATAAAGGTACAAATCACGTAGAATTTTCGCCTGGTGTTCCGTCGTGCATTAATTGCGCCCGAGTACGCCCCTGACGTTGATGGAAGTGTTAATATACCTGTAAAATGTGTCGGTTGCATATTCCGCGTTGTCAAGATCTTGATGAAAGGCGCCAGGAAATGTCTTCAGAAGACTTACATGGAAGAAACAGTCGAGCGAACGGCCTTGCAGGCTTACCATAAAGGGCGTCGTACCGGCAGAATAAAAGTGATTGTCAGTGCGGTATTGAAAGGGCTATAGTCGCTTTAATTGGCGATAAAACGAGAAAGAAGCGGTGACTTGTTGCAGCCTCCGGACGGGACAAATATCATTTATTTTCTCGGATGTTGGCGAGAGCAACAAGTGGCTGGATCCAAACCGGAACATCGACAAGGAGGAGATATTCAAAAGAGTCGGAAATTCACGCGTGCGATAAAAACGGGGGTCATTCGACAGCTGTCACTTCCAGCAAAGTGCTACGGTTTAAATAAGCCAGACAACCTGTCATGCGGCGCTCAATAGCCCCGCTTGTGGTTTTCATCTGGCGATTATTTCGCACCGACTGGTCCATGGGAATGTTGACCATAATATCTCATGTGTATGGTTAAATAAAACGCATTAAATTGCTAAGCAATACGATGTAGACATGTTAAGTTGACCATCAAGGTCGGTCAGATGTCGTCGCCGCTCAAGTTTCAATGGTTGGGCGTTTTTGTAATGTGGACATAACGTTTGTGAGAAAAATACCAACTACCAGTTTTAAAAATTAACACGGCTACTATTTACTCTGGCTTTTTTTCGAACGTGTGGTTCGTACCACAGTCGGAACAGATGATGAGCAAAACAACGGTGACAACTTTGCGGATGGAAAATTATAAATAAATTTCCTTGAATTAAGAATGAACGCCTACACGGATAACGCGATTATGTATGTCACACACCTGCCAGAGGACGCGGTACACGAATGGGAAAGAAGCAAAAAAGTCTAATTGGCAACTATTTGTTACCAGTTGGGAGTGTTTGTTTTCGTTCGGGGCTCAAACGGGAGGGATCTCCGTTACGAGTTTAAACAAAACCGAAGTTTGGGTTCCATTTCAAACATCAAAACAATCGAAAAAAACTAGGATCGTAAACGTGAACATACCTTCTGGTTTCTTGTCCATCGGACAATACGGAGGGGGTGGAGTATCTGCAAAAGAAAACAAAATTACAACTGTGATTCATGCAAAATTTTGCAGGAAATTCAAAATAGTACTCGATAAATACTCAAGCATAGTTTGTTCAGTCATTGTTCCATTATGAAATGTCATTAAAATGTAAACATTATTCTCAAGTGCTTGGCAAAACAATCGATTCTATAAATATTTGATGATTATGGAGTGGACTTGTCTACTTGTATTGGTAGAATTAAAGAATGCACCTAATAAAAAAAATGCTATGATTAGTTACAAGCCACCATAAGTGTTCGAATTTTTTCCGAGCACTTGGTTAGCCAGTGATTTTAATCGAAAAAGATATAAAAAAAAAGAACTGTGGTTTCTAGACGCGGTAAAAGCTGTTACCTACTAAAGGATTTTTTTTTCATCAGTAGTAACCAATCACTAATCAAATCAGTCTAAATTGCAACATATATGGTTGAAACCGAATTTCTAAATACATTATATACACATACTCAAAAATGATACGTCTAAAAATTGTTATTATACCACGAATTATCTTTAAAAAAAAAAGTTGGTCTCGGTTTCCTCATGATTCACGCTGCGAAGGCCACAGAAAAACTACACAAATGTCAAACCTTTCGTAAAACTACACACCAAATTTAGAATGTGAAATTGACATCTATATTTTATATCTTTAAAATTTTATAAATCGAGAAGTCATAGTAATTTCGACCTTGAAGTGTACTTTGACGTTTCTTTAAAATATGTATTATTAAATTTGATTTTGCAATTTTCTCTGCATAGAAACCGATGGCGTAATTATCAATAAGTGTGGACAATATGAAATATTTTTCAAGTAGATAACCAATGGGAAAACAATGCAGATATTCTCGATTTCTCATTATTACTCATTTCGTAACTTCGACAGTTTATGTTTATACTTCGAAAAAATTCGACTAGCACGTTCAGATTACAAGCATCAGTGGTTAAAAGAAAATGAAATTTGATTTTGTCTCCTCAACGCAGTACAGAGGACTGCTTAACCACTCAGTTTTTTTCCCAAAACACTTACAAATTTGAAGAAAATTTATTCCACAAAATTGTAAGATGACGAACAAATTTTTATTGAAGATTTAGCATGCTTCCAATACTCGTAAGCTCAACCCTTAAGATATTTGCAAGATTTACACCATTCAATTTTTGCAACTTCAAAGTTAATTTCTACAATAAGTATTGTTATAGAGTTTTGATTTTTTTCCCACAAATCTGGAAGCCAAGGGTACAAAGTCAAAAAACATACAATGCATTTTTTTTAACTCTAGTGATACAATTGTCTCATAAGAGATTGTAAAATTTCTAAAGTGCCAAAAATTTTAATTCGTGTAATTAGCGGAAATTTAAAATCTAGATATATCAAAGATTTGGATATAATCTACAGAGTGATTCAAAGACTACTACATTATTTTAATCACGAATTGTATAGGAAAAAATAAGTAAATAATTATTTAATTGAGAACATGTTCAATTCTTTGAAGTATGGTTACATAAAAAAATTTAAATTGATCAAAATTACTTTCTACCGTGGTTAATTATTAGAAAACAATTTTTATTGGTAACAGTTCGTTCAATTTTTGGAAGTTACCAAAGAAATCCGTAATAATAGCATTTCCAACAAATGCAAAATCAAGAAAACGATGTTTTTTTATGTATTCCAGCAACTTTTTTGCTAACAAAATAACGATGGTGAAAACTACTTTTGATAACGTAGCAAAGTTAAATAATTGTACCTTCTCTATTTTTGAGCAACGATTATATTTTTTCTAGAACTGATTAGTTTTTCCATACAATTCGTCATTAAAATTATGCAGTTCCTGTTAGTTGAAATATCAACATAATCGCAAAAGTTAAATTTAATGACAAGCTAAGTATACCCATTCTTATTTAAAGAAGATGCAGTTCTCAAAAGTATAAAAAAACAATGTATTTTTTTAACTCTAGCGATAAGAAATTGTAATATTTCTAGATGTCCCAAAAATTCTAATTTGTGGAATTAACTACAGTGGAAAATTCTAGATATTTCAAAAATTTTGATATAATATACAGGTTGCTTCAAAAAGTACTACATAATTCTAACTGCGAATTATATGGCGAAAATTTAATAAATAATCGTAAAATGACTCATCATTTTTTGGGAGGCCGTAAAGGAATAAATTTGGATTTATTAAACGTTTGCAAGATTTCAGAGCATTCGTTTTGCATTTTCAAAGTTAAATTGTAAAACAGTTTTAATTTGTTTTCCGAAAATCTGGATGTCAATGGTAAAAACCCAAATTCTTATTATATTAGGCAAAACTGCAAAATGACACATTAATTGCAAGTTTTGCAATTGTAAAATGTTATACGATTTTGAATTTTTTCACAAAATCTGGATGTCTAGGATAAAAACTCGATACGTATTCAAAAAGCATGAAATAATAAAAAAAATACAACATACCTATAACACCATCAAATATCTACAGACATTTTTTTTCAATATTCCGATTTGTCTCTCGAAATCGAAATGCTACTGATTTTCTTAAATTGAAAAAATAAAACCGGTAAAAACCTAAAACTTTTATACTATTCAGAATCCGACTCCCTTCAGCAGCCTCCGAACTCTCCATCGTCCCGAAATGCGCCACCATCTGAGCAACACGTGTAGTCCACGTTGCCGTTTCGCAGGTTGTAGCGCATTTCTCGACTTTCGCGTACAGTGCTAACACGAGGAAAACATGGAACCATCCGAACCGTCTTCAGGTATCCGCAGAGCCGATAAGCCCGAAATACCCAAGAAAATTACGATTGTTTTGCACAGTATACGAGCGATAAGGCAGCTGGCGCCAGAACTTATCACACCAGTTTTTGACAATGGAATCATCATGATTTATTGTGAAAGTAATATTCGCACGTTATTAAAATGATGTTTTAATTGGAGGTGATGCAACTTTATTGCCTTGTGGAAAGGGGCCGTCGGTCGAGCGAGCAGGAAAATATTCGTCTTGCAGGAAACATGTGTGGGTAATTTCAATACGTGGCGCCTGTCTAGCCGTAACGGGGGGGAACAAAGGTGAAAACGAGCCTTTTTCAGGGCGGATATCGGCGGGATGCTCAGGATATTCAAATTTGATATCCGGCGGAGCGGTTTTTTCGCGACTTGCGGGATCAGATATAGAATGGGTTAGTCATGGATTACGAACGCCACTATTTTAAAGTATCACAAAAATAAATGAATATTGAACCGCGGCGCCCGGAGCGATAAATGTTTACATACACCGGCGCCAATGCAAACTTGCCATATTATTTATTGTATTTTCATGTAATTACGTCGCGTCTTATTACCTTTATTGTGTAATTAATATTAATGGGACTGTATTATCTCCACTCAAATGAGGTGTTGAGGGAGTGCCAGACGGTGCAAAAAATCGTCTTGGCTTGTACCGAGCTGATTAGCTTATTTTCACTGTTCAGAATGTCGCAATTTATAATAATTATGCACTTTAATTACCACTTGCAACGCTAATTCTGAGCCGGCAAAGTTCAAAACGATTACGCGAAAGACATTGAAATCACATTTTATGTACACAGCGCGTTTGAGGGAATTTTTGCCGCGGCGTGTGCGTAACGAGCAGGTGGATACACCCCTGAGTCACAGAGGGCGCCGCGGTCGTCCGATCACCAACGACGTGGTGCTTCTTCGACGACAAATACCTACGACTTTCGCCGCACGCTCCTCTTTCCGAGAACCCATTCAGCTCGAAATGCAGAAATGTGAAGAATTATCAATTATGTTATCTGAACGCTTTCCGGTCATTATCCAAACTCTTGTACGCAATTTATCCCCGACTCTCGCATTGTGCAATGCCGTTATCGTCATTACGCCAATTTCTGACTTCTAAATATAGGCCGTATTCTCAAAAAAGCAATAACGTAGGCATATCAGCGCGAAAAAAATTTTATTGCTCCGAATCGTATCAAATCGACGCGAAAATAAATCGGGCTTGAACTTGAGAATCCTTGCAAATTAATTACACATATTTTATCTGTTTGAGTCCGAAAAGCGATAAATTTATATCTTCTGATTTCGCCTGCACTAGATTTATGTCCCGTGTTTAATGATTTGATAAATCGAGGGAGCGCCGTTTCTCGGTGTAACGGTGGTTGTGTGATTTAGTGCAATTATGGTAATACGGGTTCGCGACGTATGCATTTTATGGCAGATATATTGTCTTTAAATGAAGCTCCCAAAAGACCATAAAACACAGACAGTAAGTAATAGGATTCTCGAAAAAATGGCTATATTCGACCGACTGTATTTCATCATGACAACAGCGCATAAATCTCGGTTTACTACTTATTTGCTTTCGGGTTTACAGGGGGATTCTCACGATCGTACGGCGGAAAATCAAAGATTTAACACGCTAAAAACGAGAACATTCGCGGCATTTGTTCGATTCAAACCAAGGTTTCAAAAAAATACTAGTGGTCCCTAGTTGGATCTTTGAGGTACCCCACGCCATCAATTAACCCCAGATGGTGCGAATCGACGAGTTTTCGTCAATCGGGATTCGGATACGTTGAAAATTGTAGCAGCGCAGTCACGCATTTACATCATATAGACATCTTCGAAGTGTTTCCTCCGTTCGTCTCGGGCAAACGAGGCTGATTATTAAAGTGAATTGCAGCCCACGGAATCTCTCCAAGCCCATAATTATTTTGAAGAAACCGAGTGTGGCATGATTCGGAACACGTCTGGGTAGTGAGCCGCCAGGAGATAGTAATGGCGCCAGACCAGGTCTAATTCCACCGGGTGGTAGTCAACGGATCGTCTGTTCTTTCGAATACCTGATCTGCCGTCTCTTTTCCTAACCCGTTGCCCCATTAGCGCGTCTCCCCTATCTTAAGTGCTCGAGCGACTCCGAAATAATCAGTTGTTTATGGCCGACCCCGACGGGTTCGTCGTAAAATCCGGCCCGACCTCTGTTCCATTCAA